TTGAGATTGCAAATCTCTGTTACACACGGTTATATATATATATATATATATATATATATATATATATATATATATATATATATATATATATATAAACACATGAATTAATATTTTAAAATCGATCCTCCTTTTATATTGTTATAGGGATGTCTGCCTCTTTTCCTGTCAGAAACCTTTTGATTAAAAGAACATAAAATTATTTTACATATAAATCTGCCAGGTTAATAATTATGTATATAACTATGTATTCTGTATCACAGCTACAAACTAACTGTACACAATAATCCTTATACTGTTATGTTTTTTTCTTTTTTGTTTAATAAATATTGTTTTACATTTCTTATGCAAAATATCCCGTAAACGAATCATGTATATTACTTTATACCAATTAAGTTGTGAGGCATTTTTTTGTGTGTGACTGCATCATTCTATCTTAATTAGTTCTGTTGTATCCATTATCATTTTTATTACTGTAATCTCTTGCCTTTCAAATCTTAAATAAATTTGTTTTCTAATGGATCTCACTGCTTGATTATCTCCATTCTTCACCGTTTTTTGTTACACTGCCGTTTTTACCACAAGGTGGCAGTAAAGAGTCATGCGGCGTGAAGCACTGAGGAACGTGGTCAACGCTGATTCGCCTTTTATAGCTTTGATTGAGTTATGCAAATGAAATTGTGTTTTTATTCCGGATTGCAGAAGAATCTCAAACTGATTTCGGATTTCTATCATCAGTCACTGGGAAAGTAACAACATATTTTTGCTGGAGGAAAAAATAAAATAAAATAAAACAAAATAAATAAATAACAAAATCCAAATCACAGTGCAGTTGATTGGCTATTGTGTGATCCCTCTGTGCAATCAGGGAGTGTGTTTGGGTGGGTCTCTGTATTCTCATACTGTAAAGTGCTCAGGCCTAACCAATAAAGGGGCTGGAAGTGTGCCACACATCACTTGGTAATTCAAGTGTTAAATGCTGTATGTCACAGGCTGGTTGCTCCTGTGGCTTGATGTATGGTAGTAATTACATTCATACACAAACACATAAGGGCTCATGCTGAACTTAATACATCTCCTCTCTATCTCCTGGGATCTGCTGACAGTCGCTGTGAGCCCCGGTTTGTCAACGTCTGACTCTATTTTAAGCTTCCCTAAATGTGCAGTGACCTTGAAAATCCCCTCTTTTTTTTTTTTACTTTGAAATAGTTTGAATGCCAGGAAGTGAGCATGGTTGGGGTTGCAGGCTTTGTTGCTCATGTTGGATATTTTTTTCATTTTTTGCAAGAAGGTGCTACAGTTGCACTGGTGAAAAGAGGGTGATTGAATGGTCAATGCCTCCAAGCCTCGTCTCCTAGGGAGTGTCAGGGAAAGGACATGAACAAGGCTGGCCTGATGCACGGATAGGTGCAAAACATACAGTTCATCTTTACTATGCAGTATGGTAAAGTGTTTGATTGCATGAGTATTTTTATTTTATTTTTTTTTAATGTATATTTGGTTGCAGCTAATTTTTAGACTTTAGTGCATTAGCTATTGATCGTCCAGCTAAGAAATAAAATGCAGTGAGAGCTGAACTCCAATCAAAAAGTGAAGATGTGGGCGAAGGAAAGCTGCAATACATATGATTTAATGAGCCATTCCTAACTGATCTAGCTGATCATCATGTTTTTATTCTTACCCTGGAGAGTGCTGCTGTGCACTACCTTGGCAAATGGCACACAAATGGTGTTGCAATGAGAAATCAGTAATCTGCACTCACAGTGCAGTTATTAAAAGATTACATGAGGGATCACACCACACAGTATGATTAATTAACCTTGACTGATGCTTTAGAAAGCCGAACACAGCAGAGTAATTATCCCCACAGGTCTGTGTGTACCTATACAAACATATATGAGATGCTCTGAAAGCGCCACGATAGCTTTCACTCAGGGTTATTTTTGTTAAGCAAAGCTCTGCTCAACCTTTCCTCCAGGAGCCGAAAGCTGTCTGACATTTCCCCCAATGTGCTTCTCTTTACGTGCCTATGATCACTTTACGGCGTGCGCTTTGCACACAGATCATTGTTTGAGTATAATCCTCATCCCTACCACCTGGTCAAATCTGCCTGTGCACGCTGCGTGGCTCGTAGGCGTGCTGACTCAGGGAGGAAATGAGCTGCTTTGGCTTCAGTACGCCGTATCCCACGGTGTTCCAGCGGACGGCACAATGCAGTTTGGGCCGGCTGAAAAGGCCAATGAATTAAACATAACCTCTGGGTGTAAAGATAACTCTTCAAATCCGGTTCGCATTGTGAGGCGGGGGTATTAAAGTTAATTTTAATACAGAATTGCAGAGAATTAATTATAACTTTGGGTGGTTATTACCTTTTTATCACTCTGGCACATAACAAGCACACAAGCAATTAGGGTGCGTCAGCTTGCGACTACATCCACATTAGCACAAAATATTTTACACCGTTAGAGAGTCTCCAAAAACATCCCTCAAGCGTCACGAGTGAATATTATTACATATATGTTTTTTATTATCGTGTTCCGACGCAAGGTCGCTCTGACCTGCAGTGATAGAAAGCCTCCCAGAAAACTGTCCCTTTGGCCCAGACTGCTTCCAAAGGAAAGACTGTGAGGAGGAAATGATCAAATGAGAAATGGTCAGTAGCATGAAATCATGTTAAAAAGGAAATATTAAAAATGATTTTAAATATATTAAGTTTAAAAATAGGTAAACACTTGACACTTTATTTATTTAACAAAAAAAAGAGCTAAAACAGAGCTGCAGAATGTCAAGAATAACTGACATCCTGTGATTGATTATCACACAGATCCTGTTTATTTCCCGTAACTTGAAGAAATCATCATCATCATGACCTGATCAGCCTCTCACATGCTGGCTGCGGAGCGATTCTAGCTTGGCATACTTCAGCGTTGCTGAGAATCAGTTCGCACCGCGCTCTAAAGGTCTAATTCCAGAATATTAATTAAAGACCGGACTTTGAGTGGGTCATTTGCAACACCTTGTTTGTTTTCTTTCCAAGCCATTCAGTGGGAGATCTGTGGCCGTGTTTGGGATAACTACCCTGTTGCATGACCTAATTTCAGCTAAGTCTCAGCTGCTGGGCAGATGGCCTCAAATTTGACTAGAGCACTTACATTTGCGGAGACTTTAGGGATTCAGACTGTTTGATTATAGCCAACACGGCAAGACAAGTGCAATGGTATAATGCCTTGTGTTTGGTGAAATGTTTGTTTTTTATCTGTCCTCTGGACAGTTTTCTAGAATCCGTAGTTTGTTTAATTGCAACTTTGGAAATACAAGCTGTGCTACTATTTTCCGTCCCAAATGAAAAGCCTTTCCCTTTTCACCAGTTTCCACTATTCTTTATTTGCACTCTTAACGATCTGCAACAGTTGACTTTCAAACAGAAGCTGCTTAGAAGTCTAAATTTAGGGTAAACTTGCTGTGATGTCCACGGGTATTAGATATTTCAGCTGTTCCCAGTTAATTAATAATGTTGCTGATGAAAGAATAACAACCGCAGATTGGAAGGAAATTACCTCATAATCATCCTCATATTGACGAGATGCTGCATTTGTTTTCCTCCTAGACCGATGGTGGCATGTTCCCTCTTTGACTTTGTGTTGTCATTTAGAGAAGCAAACCACCAAAATTGCTTTCATGGAGGCACTTATGCCCTCTAATGATCACTTAATTAAGTGCTTTTGATTAGCATGACCTGGCTGCTACTTACCCATTTATGGAAAAGTGAAAGAGTGTGGTGATTTCTCATATCCTGCTGTGGAATGGAATATGTTATGTGTTGTGTAACTGAGGATATGGTTACCTAATGTTATAAATTGAACCAGACCAGATTATTTTAAAAAAAATGTATTTCTTGGTATGCAAAACCTTATATTTAAAGATTTACTTGCTTTTTAACATGATTGCACATATTCACACAAATTTCCCACACAAAGAAGACAGAATGCCCTAGAAACATTGCTATTTATAGAATCCCACTGCACCTCGGTGCTCATATATTCTGTCATCATGAGAACAAACTAAACTTATTCTATGTATTTAAACGTTACATGCATATTTAATACTGACCAGATATAATGCAAACATGAATTCGTGCCTTCAAGTCCGGCGACATCCGTTCCCAATTAACAGATTCTGAAAGCAAAGTGTAAAAAACAGATAATTATGCCTGATGACAGGAATAATTATCACTGACAAGTGAAAATCCTGTTTAAACCTTTTTAGTCAGCTATTTTCTGACCCAGATCTTTAAGTGTTCATGTATCAGGGTTTTCACTGTTATTTCTAAGTTACACAATGTTGAGAAATTTTTTTTTCTTTTTTTTCAGTCACATCTAAATTTAACATGCATTTAAATATTGCATGACGATACTCTGAGTACATACAAAGAGCTGAAAGGAAAAAAGATATATAAAGAAATTAAGGGAACCAATCCCTTAGCAGGAATTGTTCTTTAAATCTAATAATGGACCTTAGTGGAAACAACTGTAAACATTCATGTTAACTATCCATCCATTTTCTTTACACCTTTGTCCCTCAGTGGGGTTGGGGGGGTTGCTGGTGCCCATCTCCAGCTAACGTTCCAGGTGAGAGGCAGGGTTCACCCTGGACAGGTTGCCAGCCTGTTGCAGGGCAACACAGAGACAAACAACCATGCATACACACACTCACACCTAGGGGCAATTTGGAGAGGCCAATTAACCTGACAGTCATGTTTTTGGACTGTGGGAGGAAACTGGAGTACCTGGAGAAAACCCACACATACACAGGGAGAACATGCAAACTCCATGCAGAAAGACCGGGGCTGGGAATCAAACCCAGAGCCTTCTTGCTGCAAGGCAACAGCTCTACCAACTGCGCCACTGTGCAGCCCTCGTGTTAACTAGCAACGCTTTTTTGCATTACTGTGGAGAATGTGAATATGCTGTATGGGGTTAGAGTTTGTCTAGGCCCCTCCAAAATCTTTGTTTCATTCTGGAGACATTTGGGTCAGCAGGTGAGCTTCGGATCAAAGTTCTGCTGCATAACCCAACGCGTTTGTGAGTTTTGATATGACAAGCTGCTGCCTGGACGGTCGTGCTTCAGGATTTTCTGGCTGAATTCAGGTTTCCATTGATTACAGCATGTCATCCAGGACTCAAAGAGTCAGGCCTTCACACTACCACCAAGTTTAGGAGTTGCTATGATGCTCTCCTTCTGAAATACTGTTTGTTATCCATCAATTTAAACTTCCAAAATGTTCCAACATGTCTCTTTAGTCCATGTAATGTTAAACTAAAGTTATTGGGCCTCATAACAATCATTTTGGAGGGGAAATATACGAGAGTGCTTTTTGTTATGTTTGGTCAGCAGTGGTTTCGGTCTTGAAAATCTCCCTATGAATGTAGATTTTGCCCCGTTTCCTTCTTATTGTTAGATCTCGAACACCCTGAGATCTGCGGTGCTTCAGATGTTGTTCTGGATTCTTCTTTGATATCCTGAAATAGTCTTTATTGTGCTCTTGGCGTAATTCTGTTCTGCAATGCTCTGAAGCGTCTGGATTGGGGCGGGGTAATGTGTTGCTGTTTATGCTTTTCCTAATCCAGGTTGTCAGGTTCTAGTTAGGTGAATTCTTGATATCACAGCTCAGACAATGATCAACCAAGGTGTAGCTAACCACAGTCTAGCTGATCACAAGTAATTCATGATTTCACAAGGGACACAATTATTTTCTAGCACAGAGCCAAGATGGTGTCAAAGGCTTTTTTTCTCATTGGAAATGACAGTTTCATTTCAAAAGTACTTTTTGTATTTACCATGGTTTTCTTAGTCTGCTTTTAAAATTTGTTTAGTGATCTGAGACATGCAAATTTTACAAAAGTCAGACAAAAGAAAGATGTAAGGGCAAATACTTTTTCACAGCACTGCATACAAATAATCAGTCCATTGTTGCATCTGAACATTTTCAGAGGGATGATTGTTTGTTCACCGAGTCCCCTAATGAAGCTCTTTGAATTATTCAAGAATAAAAAAAGCGTCGTCTTAACGCAGATGATCAAAACTGTTGCGTGTACAACAGAGACTTTCTCCCAAGTCAAACTCAGCCTTCAAATCGTTTGCTGTTAGTCCAAGTCAGGTCTCAAATTAAACGAGTAAAATGAACATTCCTGAATAGCATCACACAAGGCAAGAGTTTATGTTAATCATAAATTTAAATGATTAACTTCAAATCCTTACTGTACCTCTTGAATGTGTTTGGCTAAAGAACACTGCTTTTCCAAAAAAACAAACAAAAGGAGCAAAATAATTTTAGAAATGGATCTGGAAACAGCAAAGGCTGAAAGAACAAGCTGAACGTCTACAAAAGGAGGGAGTTTAGTGAGGGGGGTGGTGGAAACTGTCCCAAAAGTAACAATTAAGATTACTATGTATGCGATGAAAACAGAACAAAATGAGGAGAATGTAAATGTCATTATCAGGACACATTGGGGGGTGCAGGAGTAAAAAGTATGAAGCACAGGAACAAGAAGATCTGACTGAAAAGTTATTGGACCTCAAGAAATTATTCATATTTTGCTTAGAAACAATCTGAAGGATTATAATTCTGTCTGGGAGACATATCATTATCATCATCATCATGAAATTAGAGGGTTTGTAACTATTTAATAGCTCATGATACCTGCTGAATGAACCAGACAGACATGTCCTTAAGCAAGAGAACAGGCACATCTGTGTCAGAGCTTATTTACTGCGTCTTACTTCCTGCTCGACGGTAAAAACAGATAAACTCAGTGGCAACGAACCGCCACCATACTTTCTGTGTGCAATATTGACAAGCAGTCATCTGTAAATCATGCACTAACTCAGAAGGGAGAATAATAGTCATTAAATCAAATGATGCACACTTAATGGCTGACTGTGAACCCCTGATTGCATGAATCTTTTTATGAGAGTCAGACCTCCAGTTCCAATCAAGTCTTCACACCACAAGTTAAGTCTCAAGTCTTTGTTTTTTGTGACTCAAGTGCAGCTTGAGCCTCGAGGCGGATTTGAATTTCCAGTCATTTCGGATCACTTGACAAAGAACCAATTTTAGATTGTAAAACTGATTATTTAATAGCAACTTTTCTCAACACAAACATCAGTGTTCATGTTCTTTGAAAAAAAACAACAACAAAGAAGCTAAAGGTAACACAGTTTGGCAGGCATGAAATATCTTGTTAACACCAAAAAATGTGATTTCAGAAGGAAAGTTACTCTGTCGAAGTGAGTAATTAGTGGCTTCACAAAAGGGGAAAATATTCCAGTGAGAACAGGAAGAGTTGAAGGTTAAACTGGAAAAAAAGAAATGGTTTTTTTTTTAAATCAATATAACTGACTCAAAAAAGATTTCAGACTTTTTCCTTAAAATATTTCAAGACATTCTGTTTCCTTGAAAGCAAAATTTAAGGAAAAGACATCTATATATCTAATATGCTGCTGCTCTATTTTTGTAAACATTACACTATAAAATCCAGACCCAGAACTTTTCCCACTTCAGTTTATAAAAGTAGTTTTAGTGGATGAAATATATTTTATTTATAAATCTGCAAAAGACATGTTTGATGTAGTTTTGACCTTTGCGTGATAAACTGGGCTCATAAAACGACTCAAAAGCCACCAGCTGCGTTTGTGCTACTCTGCAGGACAAAGATTAGACTCTGTCTCCAATCTATTGTTGGTAACAATGTTAGCATTTCTACTGACATTTAATGTAGCCAGAAATCAATGAGAGAATCGCCAGTTTATATTTGTTTTTGAAAAACAAAGGGAAAAGATACGCAAACTCTTCTGAAATTAATCTCATCATGTGGCATTGGATTTGTTTTCAAATATTTTTAAGAAGTCATGTAAGTGACCAAACAACATCTAGTTCATATTCTCTTAGTTACAATTTGTTGTGGCGAATTATCTGCATATCAGACACGTCAGCTCGATTATTTTATTCCTAAAACAACTAAAGAGAAAATATTGTATTTTAGAGCAAGTTTAATCTTGAGAATGTGAAATATAAATAGGTAACTATTAGTCTTTCAATTGTTTTTCAAAGCAGCTGGGTGATTTCATAACCCACTTTTGTATCGCCACAGAGTCACCTGAATGAATGATGGTATATTTTCATTGTTTTAAACAGATTTTTTCACCCCTTTGGTAAACAAGAACTTTCTAACATGAACATGTTGAATCGATATCTGGCTTCTAAATGGCAACAAAGAAAATGATAAAGTATAACATAATACAAATATTAAGGAGAGCAACCAGCCAAAGACTCAAGGGTACATTGGGTGTTGTTTGTGAGCATAAAGTTTCTTCATTGTTTTGCCAAGTGTTTTAATATTTATCAGTAATGGTAAAAAATCATCAGCTGACATCCACAGGATGCTTCAGTCACATCTCTCTTTAAATATTTAACAATTAGCTGCAGCCGTTTTTTTTTTTTTTTTTTTCCCATAGTAAAATCAATGAACGGGATTTTTTGACTGCAGCTGCCGTCTTTGATTGTATTTTCACTTCCTGTACGACCCATCATATGTGCAGTTTTAGCTTAAAAATAACTTTTATTTTGGCCAAAACAACATATTATTGTGGGAAAACTAAATGCAAACCAAAGGTGGGTGGTACCTGGTTCCATTTAGTTACATTAACATTAGTAACACGATGAAACAAATGTACTTCTAGGAGCAGTTTTACTGCAACATGTTTTCTTTATACCTCAGTAGTATGCTGAAGTAATACTACTCTTACTTGAGAGCAGTTTCTGACTACTCTACCCAGCCTGAGCTACTTCACTGAAGGACAAGCAAACACATTTTAACCAGAAATGTACCAGACGAATAATACGTTTGCGTCTGGTAAGACCTCTGGTTTGTCAGCAAACTACATTATTCTAATTAAGTTTTTCTATCTGCCGAGACTGTTGTGTCATTAGGAGGTCAAGTGCATATACAGGCACTTCCCTTCCCTTTACACTTTGGTTTATTTTGACAGCATTCTCATGTTGTCCCTGGTTTGTCTTTGCTTAGTTCCAGGCAGACGGTAATGTCTATGTGGAGAAGGGTCAGCTGTGTGTGCACACAGTACAGCCCTGGTGAAATCCCCATCTAATTAAAGACAAATCAATCCCACGGCTGCCTCTGCTTAGCTGCAGCACTTGGAAATCTCTGTGTCAACAGCCTGGGATACTACAGTTCTAACTATTAGAGCACACGTGTTAACTTTGACACTAGCATTGAATGGGAAACGCATCAGACATCTGCAAACAAAGACCAAAAACAAGAGGATGGAGAACGGCGAATTCTCTGTGGTAAATTAGCACCCACAGAGTTATTATTGTAATCAGAGGTTTGGAGGCTTATGAACTGCAGCGTAACTCCCATTGCGTGAGACACTACCAGACTCCGTCCAACAGCGTGGGCTGCACACCTTCTGCGGCATAATCACTATCATTTACCGGAGCGCCGCCCTCCTCTGTTTATTGAAATATTAATCTGGGATAAACAAAGCTTTCAACCAAACAAATTAACACTCACAAAGAGGCGCTGTTCTAATGCAGTCTATCGAGATAGATATTAAAATGCAGATGAGTTCAACGGGAAAAGAAGAGGAGCAGCAAGAATTAGCGTAAGCAGACCCAAGGTGATACAAATTCCTACTTTCCTTTGAGGGGCTGGGTGGGGGTCATCAGTGCAGTGTTTCTCTGCTGAGATCAGCATCAAATACAGCAAAATGAAAAATGGTTGTAATGAGAAAAAGAGGGATTAAGGTAATGATGGCTATCTTTTGTTTCCAATTACTACTGCTACTACTGCTGTGGAATAACTTGTTCTTGCTCCAGTCCTGCACTCAAAAAAAAAAAATAAAAAAATAATAATAATAATAATACATTTAGTGGTCTTCGTTTCTGTGCCACAGGATCTCCACTTCAGCAGTCCATCACCATGGCAAACCAGACCACAAGAGCAGATCTAATTTTTAAAACCTGTAATCACTGAGAGTTCACAAGTTCAGTTGCATATCCAGGTCATGTTTAATCAAACGAGTACCGCAGACATTCCCCCTACAGCTCAAGTGATGATACCGGTGGCTCTTTTTTTTTTTAGCTTCATTTTCCTCCACAGCCAGTACAATGGTACTTAGGTGAGTAATTAGAATAACCTGAAGAAATAGTAGCAAATCCTTGTAATCCCTTGTCTTTATCTGTCTTTAACCCCTCTCTCTCTTTCAGCCCCAGGAGCCGCAGTTAAAAGCTGTCCTTTGGGTTCTCTTTAGAAGTGGGACACTGAGGTCCCAACCAAATGTCACACTGTGGTAGACGCGCCTGTCTTCTCTTCAAATTGTGTCATCGCACCACATGCTTTTTTTTTTTTGTTTGTTTTTTTTTACTTGCTGTAAGTTTAAAAGGATATACTTTTAAAAAAGAAGATAGCAAATAAGTCAGTAGAAACAGAAAATCCAAAACATATGTACACTTCTGAAAAAAAAAAAAAAAAAAAAATAAAAAAAGGGAAACATTTTTAAAAGGTCAAATTGATTTTAACGGTTGACAGGAACCCTTTGAAGCATTTATCATTTGATGGCTAATTTTTGCTTCACGTCGGGTGGCATATTAGAAACATTCCTCCCAATCAAATCAATCTGGTTTGTCATTTTCATCTTCTACCTCCCGTCTCTCTAGGCACTCTGACTCTTCCCGTCCTCCTCACTCATGACCACAACTGTATGAACAATATCCGTCTGAGGAGGAGGAGGAGGAGGAGTAACGGCAACTTTCACAGATGAGTATCTCGCCTTGTGTGATTTGCATTCAATTCTTGTCACGGGGGAAAAGAAAAAAAAAAAGCCTGTTGAAGTTGTGTGCGCGATACAGTCTCACACTTAGAAAAAAAATAAAGAAAAATCTGACAGAGCACACATAGTTACATTCACACTTACATGCACACGGACACATGCTCACTGGGAAATAATGAGTTGTCACATAAGGCTCTGGAGTAATGCTGAAGCTATCTTTACGAAACGGCAAAATGCAATATTCTCTGACAGCAAAACAAATGTCATTATTTTACATGCTAAAACCCATGTTAAAAGTATCTCGTCTGGTTAAATCTTCCAAATAATACAAGAGCAAAACTGAACCGCTTAGTGGACGCAGCTGGTCAGCCCGCAACGCTTCAACGTGCTGGTGAGGCACAGAATGACATTTGACCACATCTATCTCGCTTGCCCCACAGCACTATCTCCCCACTGCTTTTGGAAATTCAGCCTATAAAATGTCAAAAGGTTAAAAATCAATATGTGATGGATTTTAATTACATAAAAAAAAAATTGTGCCAGAACATTTTTTTGTTTCCCTTTTAGATATGAAATTAAAAAGAAAAAAAAGAAAATCATCACATCGTAATCACTCTCGGCTTTTCGTCTGATTTTCTCTCTCCGTTGAATCGATAAGGAATTTCATGGCAAAAAAATAAATAAAAAGGAAAAAAAAAAAATAAGAAAAGAGTGAGAGATTACGGTCCGGGGGGAGAGAGATAGATAGAGTGTTTTATCCAGGTCACAAAGCATTTTTTATTCTTTTTCCTTCAACAATTTGTTGTAGTACAAGAAGTAATTTTCATAGTATTTATTATTTTTGTTGCTTTTGATCATCTGGTGTCTGTATTTACATAATAGGAATAAAGTAGATTCATGTGTGGTTTTCTATGTACACGGTTTTACCAACTGCCGGTCGGTGTGTCTGTGACGTCTGCAGTCCTGTTTGCCACAAGAACACACAGAAAGTCCGTTTCACTCTAGGCTCTAACAGCAAAGTACAAGGGGAGTGGGGCAGCAATGTGCACTCGCAGCCCCGGGATTTAGAAACTGAATACTCTCTTCAAACAACAGCAAGGCAGTCATTTAACGTTTCAAAGGCCTAAAAAGCAAACAAACACAGAGGACAGCGGAGAGCGTCGCCCAGTCTTATGGGTGAAGGCTCTCTAGCTCTGGATGGATGATACAGCACCTCCTCAGTCTCTGTCTCCACCTGTACTCCACTTCTGTACACTTGTGATTCACAGCGAGACTAAATGAAGGCAACTACACTGAATCAGCTCCCACTGCCTGCTCGGAACAAAAGCTTTTGCTCCCTTTTACTTAAATGGAGTATTGTCTTTGCTTTTTTTTTCTTTTTTTTTTTTTGATGTTCAGAAACAAGCACTTCAGGATGAGAGAGTGTGTGTGTGTGTGTGACAGAGAGAGAGAGAGAGAGAGAGAAAAAGAGAGAGAACAAGTGTGTGTGTGTGTATTTGCCTTGTAAATGTTCTAGTTTCTGTTCTGGCTCAATAAAAGATATTTTTGGCAACAATGAAGAGCTTTCTGTGAGATATTTTAGGTAATAATAGTGTACAATATTCCCTGTCTGCACAGCTAACTACCCCTATCAAATGATGACTTAAAAAAAAAAGATCTAAAGATGGTAAGAAAAGGAAATGAGACAAAATATAAAACAATATCCTCATCTCTTGAGGCGGGTCTGAACACATACATTTCTTTTAACAAAGTTTGAAAGTTTTGAAATATCCAAAGGTAACGGGGGGAGTGGATTGGTACATTCAGAGTGCTGGACTTGGCCTTAGGGTACCAAAAACTGGGGTCGCACAGAGGTATCAAAAGCTCTGATGAAAAACACCCATCGCTCATTTCCAGGCGATGGGGGAGCGTTGACGACATCAGCAGAGTCAGCTGTGACTCCCCCAGAAGCTCAGTCAGTTTTCTCATATGTAAGATAAATAAAAGTCAAGAGAAATAAAGGCAACAGAATAAGCAGAGAGTGGAGACACATGAGAAAGAGACCGCTCAAAGGAGGCTCTGGCCCTTACGACAGTTTCCAGCCGCCTCCTTCAGGCTCCAGTCACAGGCTGGTGACCAGTTGCATCTGTCCGTCTCCCTCAGTGTGGGCGGGCTCCTGAGCCTGGAGTCCCTCCCCGCTGGGTCTTTGAGGTGGGGCCTGATAGAAGGTCTGCATGGGGGCCCCACGAGAACCGAGAGCAGGCCTCCCAGAGCTGTAGTACAGCTCTTCAGGCGGCTGAGCTGAACGCGGCACAACCTCCAGCGGCTCTGGACTGCTGTCGGGGTAGGGAGAGTCCCGCAGGTTGGTGATGCTGGTGTACAGGGAGTCGTGGGCAGGTGAGTCTGGTGCTCGATTGTCTCCCTGCCCACCACCACTCTGACCGCTGTTGCCGAGGCTCTCTGTAAGGTCGGCCGTGTAGCTCTCCGACTCCTCGGGATCGCTCTGGTAGAGGACTGACTGGGCGCGCTGCAACAGCAGGGGTTCTTCCAGAGCTTTGTAAAGCAGCTCTACGTCCTGAGGTGTTCTTTGCCGTCCGTCACTCAGAAACTCGTCGTCCTCGTCCATGCTGATGGAAGGCTCTGGTCCGCCCGCGGTTGTTCCCCGACCCACTCCGCAGTGAGGATGTCCCCTGACCAGACTGGCATAAGTTCTGTCCCCCGCGTCAGTTCCGCCTCCTGCAGGTCCTCCGCCTACGCCGCCCCGCAGGTTGTTATGGACAAGCTCGGAGATGATCATTTTCTCAAAGGCTGCGGCGTCAGAGAGGTTTCGCCGGGTGCCTCCGCCTCCCAGGGTTTCTGAACTACGAGGGTTGAAAATGGGCGGAGGAGTGTCTCCGCCACTACCGCTAAGAAAGTCACAGCTGCCGCCACCTCCGCCCGCTGGGCCACTTCGCATGGAGTAGCTGTTGTTGAAGTTACCATTTAGCGGAAGGGTCTCCATTCCACAAGGGTCCCGGGGCTTAGAAAGTGTACTCTCTGCATCCAAAACAGGCAAACAGATTTAGCATTATTTTTTTATGGTGACATTTCAGATAAATGCGTAAAAAAAACAAAATCAGGTAAATATTAATTATACTTACTTGGGTCACGGAAAGTTCCTACACATCCCAAAGGAAAGCATGTGGAGCGAACAAACAAAATGAGTGAGAGACTCTCTTGGACAAAACCAAAAGAACAGTTTTAAATCTACGAGAAGTGAAACAACTGATGGCACCAATGCACTACAGTCTGTTTACTTCTTTGTCTGATTATTCCCAACTTTTAACAGATATAACAACACCTGCTGTGTCGCTTTCACATATTTCTGTTCGGATAAGTTGGAGAAGACACACACAAGGGATTAAATTTGCCTGTATCCCTCTGTAAACATGCCTCATCACCATGACGCTTAAATTTTCATGGTTTACTGTTACCTATTCTAACACGTTTCAAGCTTAAAAGAAGGCAGATCCCTAATTTTCAGTGTTCACTTGGAAGAATAAAACATTAAGCTCAACGTCTTTTCCTGACTCTGCTTAGGGCTGCGTTTGAACAGTCTTCTGCATATTTAGACTTTAGACACCCACCACTTGCTCTGTGCTGAAAAGAGCATTGAATAAAACAATAACACCTTCATTTCCAACTTTTTACAAGTGTCTAAGTTCTTCAGCAGAAAAGAAATGACCTCTGGCTCCCAAACCTCCTCAATTTCTACAAGAGAAGCATGCAACGCTAGTGCTGAGTGACAGACTGGAGGGAAGGCAGGCAGGAAAAGCATTGCAATACACTGTAACAAAATGCTTCTTGCTAACTCTAACCAACAGTTTCACACACACATTCAAGGCCTTTATTGAAGTTAGATTAACTGGGGAGGTGAAGCTCAGGGCTAACTGGGATTGTAGCAACTTTTTTTTCATACCAGAAAAGTGTCTTGTGCATTTCTAATCTGTGCAGTTTGCTCTGTTGTTCCTGAATAAAATCCACTGCAATCAATTTGCCTTCACCTTCAACTAAGTCCACCTGTTAAATAATAATGGTTGAATAATAACCTTCGGTTAGCTATTCATCATCTGGTCCCCATGAACAATATACACATTTTAGGGGTATTTACAGAGTAAAACTGCTTACAGGGAAACCAGGAACCTTTTTCTAAAAAAAATATGATATGATATGATTTAATACAACAAATTTTGTGGCTAAGAACTGTGTTATTTTATTTTTTATTTTAAAAAAAAAAAAAAAAAAAGATCTTTTTTGATCTCAGGAACAACATCTAAAACTCTTGTAGCTACTTTTTGTCACCATACATCCAAGCATCCAGTCGGGTTCTTGTAACCTTGAAGCCACCAATTCCTACATCCTTGAAAACTGTTAGTAAAATATACAGTGGTACATAATTTACCTGAAAAAAAAAAGAAAAAGAAACATTTTTTTTTTTTTTTTGCAGTGATAATTATTTCATGAACTATACCCCACAAGGGAAAAAAAAAGCAGACTATGATTTCTTCACAGTAAAGGAAAAGCCACAGTTGGCTGGAAAGCATAAAGTGTGTTCATACTTAAATTTTCATGGCGTACTTTGACTTTAATCAACGGTCTTCTTTGGTGGCGGCGTGGGTAATTAAACATTCTAATGAAGTGCTCACTGCGCTCCCTACCACTCTTTTTCAGAAAATGACTTGGCTGTGAGGCCTGTGGCTATCAGGCTTGATACATAGTACAGAGAGGCCCTAAAATATTTAACAGGAGCTCCTCCTCAAACTTTCACATTACACCACCAGGAGTGATGCACAGCGGTTGCAAACTAAGCCATGAACCGGCAGCACCGAGTCACAGCTTTCTTTTAACATTGTAAATATCTGCACATTTGACTAAAGGCATCCAAAAAGAGGAGAGCAGCTCCCATGATGAGCACACATATGACTGACCGTCGTCCAGATGGACCGTCGCCCCCCCTCCCCCACTCCCCCACAGAGATGATCTGATCCCTTTCTGTGGACACCGTGATTTGAGCCAACTATCTTTGCTGCTCGGGAACAGGAAAACCTTCCTAAAAAAAAAAAAAGCTGGCAGTCACAGCTGTAGCTAAACTTCTAATCAATTTGTGGCTGTTCTCGTGAAGATTCAAGATCTGACCAGATGGCTGGTTAGGCTGTAGGCACTGTTTGGCTCTGTTCTGCTCAGCCTAGTGAATCCGTCTGACAGCTACATAGTCTGGGGAAAGAGAAAGCACACACACACATACAAGGAGAAGGCTCCCACACACACGCACACATAAACCCTCAACAGCAGCGAGTGTGCATCTACTATGTCAAACTACTGACAGCAAGAACGACGGCAAGTTGAGCTCATATTGTGCTGTCAAGACTGTCCACGCAGACTGAGGTGTTCATGAGGAGCTAACCTGTGGAGTTGAAGACTCCAGGTGAGGGCGGGGTGAAGCTTTCAGCCAGCAGAGTGTTGTAGGGTGAAGTACCAGAGCGGGTCTGTAACACCGGGTTTGTCAGAAGGTGGTTGCCCATGGTCGCTGCAAAGCGCAAACATTTGAAAAAAAAGAAAAAAAAAAAGAAAAACGAGCACAACCATAAATATCACTGTAAATTTACCCTAAATGCATGCACACGAAAAACAGAGCACCCAATAGGCGCGCCACTGAAATTCAGACTCTAATAGCATCTGAAATCAGAAGAATAGTTACTATTTATTCAGATGGGGTTATTTTCTCATGCCACTTCTTTATAGAGTAATACATTTCGCAGTATTCCCTTCAATTTTTTCGTCTGCTGATTGTAACCTTTGAGCAAAAAGAAAAAGGAAAAAAAAAAACAATTGAGAGGAAGGGCACTGTTTGGGGGATTGTTTTTCTTTTCCTCCCCTTCCACCTTTGGTTCATGACGATGTAGTCAGATGGGGGGAGAACAGTAATGCATGCCATTATGTAGGCTACGGGTGCAGTCATGGAAACACAGTTAATTTCACAGTGAAATGTGAATGCCACTACAAGACAAATATAATTCAAAGAAATGGCACACTGAGACTGTTGTATAATGCCCATGTATGGCTCCAGCCTGAGGCAACTCGAACAGAAATGCCATGAAATTAAAAATAGGACAGCATGACGGAGAGTCGTCCAAGGCAAAGTGCAACCTTCAGGTCCCCTGCCTACCGTTCATCACACAGCGAGGAAGAAGGGGGATTCTAAAAAAGCAGTAAAAAAAAAAATGCACTCACACACAGCTATTTATTTGTCATTTCCCCTCCTGCCACACTTCCTCTGTCCATCTTTCTGGCAGGCTGCACAAGCCTGTCTCCTGTTCATTCTCTGGCTTGCGTTGCTGCGATAAATCCACCAACTTTTTCTCAGTTCCTCGCGCCAGGACTTTTTCAAGCATCACCAAATTAGTCGGGATTAGCTGTCTGTGCGTACCTCCTTGTGGGAATATCTTGTAGGGAATTAAAGAAAGTAGCTCAAAGTGTAAAGAAAAGTAGGGCAAGGGGAAGCATGGGATGCTCTCAGTCTGTGTATAATACATAAATATATTTTTTTTTTCTGGACAGATTACTATTGTCGGGAAGAGACTCTGGTTCATACGGAAGTGCATAGAAGAAATCAAAGCGATCTTAGATGGCAGCGATAACACATCTCTCCTCCAGACTCAGCTCTGTAATTATTTCTCCATGATAGCGTCTTACACTATACATGTCTCCCCAGATGCCTTCCTCTTTAACTTTCTGCCAAACTTCTCTCAGCCGCACGGAAAAAAAAAGGCTTCACAGCTCATTTGTTTGTGTTTGACAGCACATCATGAAGTGATCCACACAGTACGTCTCCTCCAGGTCTGGTGATTGCTCTATCGCGACAAAAAAACCAAAAAAAACCAAAAACCTCCAGAAACCAACAAACCGAGCCGCACAAAGACACAGACTGACATAGACACCTCTCATCTATCCAGCTCGCTCGCAACACACCTCGTCCTCACCCCCTGCCTTGCTCCTGTCTCTCTCCTCAATTAGAATAATTACCCCCTGTTCGCTCACACGCTAATCAGTTCATTAAAAACAAAATGGATGAAATTAGCATAGAGAGTGATGGCTGATTTAGCGACTGCCTCAGTGTCATGATCAACAGCGACCCTCCCCACCTTAAAAAACGAGTCTGGAACCTGAGCCAACCTAGATCATCTCGGCGCCACTGATTGCAGCTGCTGTGACGACGCCATTTGCAAAAGGCTGCGATTATCAGCGACGCCGGCGTTTCATGAGTCTTTTTTTTATGCCGGGCTGAAAAATTCTTTCAACTTTAGATAGGAAGACATTGTAGGAAGCTGAGTTAGTCAACTTGAAGAAAGAAGACTCTATTGGATGCAGGTTTTAGATGTGTTTCTGGTACCAGTAGGAGCTTTACTTGGTTGGTTACAGATGCTGTTGACTTCAAAATACTCAGGTAAGCTGTGGCATCAAAATGATTCCAACTTTGGATACTAAGAGGTCTAAAGTTGTTGCAAAAAGTACCACCCATACCATGGAGTACGGTTAGCATTGCTCCAAATCCTAGTTGAAAGTGAAACTCATCTACCCAATTTGCAGTTTCCAATTTTTTGCTCTCCACTCCACTCACATTGAGCTTGTATGAATTACAGCCTTTTCTTAACCAAATCAAAGAAGAGGTTGTACATGACAATCACAGAAAATCAGCAGTTTCTGAAAACCTTTAAGGAGCCAATCATGCCATGTCACTTAAATCACTCATCTTCTCCATTCTGACATCTCAATGTTGCCACTCCGGTGGCAACATCTCAATAAATTTAGTCTTCTGAATTTAAAAGGCTAACTTTACTGAGATGTTGTCGCATGAGTGGCTGGTTCAATATTTGTTTTTAACAATTAAACAAGTGAGTGAAAAATAGTCTGCTGCTAAAGACCAACTATATGTATGTTCACCCAGATCTGTTTTTAGCACTAGTGGCCTTTATTCACATAACTTGACAGGAAGAGCAGAAGACGTGGAAGAACATGCAGTAAATGGCCCGGGGCCGGGAATCAAACCTGGGATAGCTGTGGCCTGTGTGTATGCTGCACTTGTTTTACCACTGAACCATCTGATACCCTCACCTAGATCCGTTTTGACGCAACATCATTGACACATTTCAGTTTGTATTAAAAGTCAGTTTAAAGATGAATTTGTTCGTTCTGAGACTCTTTTCAGTGCTGCTATCATGTCAGTGTCAGACGAATTTGTGTTTACACAACCCTAAAAGGAGGAAAGAGGACAGAAGTCAACTGCCTCACCGTGCCTCTTATATCAACTGTAAAGAAAATACGGTTAAAGAGAGGCAATGTTCAATGATTTTTTTATGTTGTAATCCTGTTGCGTTTTGGCAAGAGTATGTCAAAGCCATTCCAACGTTGCCTCGGGAAACAAGATAAACAGGTAAAAAAGCAACATAAAAAGCCTCCTTTCAGAGCAGAAAGAAGGCAAGCTCCATATATTTCAGCTGTTGCTTCGGGACATCACTGACTCGCAGCTGCTGCGAGCATCACCTAAGTGAAACACAGCAGGTTGCGAAACTCACCATCCAGAGAGGAAAGTCTTTGACCGTCTCTTTTAACTTTTGGTGCTAATAATCGCTATTTGCAAACTGCATCAGTAAATAACCTTACAGCAACACTAGAAAAGCATGAGCACACATTTCATCATCCTGCATACAGGACTGTGAACACATTTGCTGCGAATTACAATATTTTTTTTCTCCTCTGCTGTGTCCACTCTTGGTTAGTTCTGCGTTTGTGTTTGCAAGTATTTAAGTGTGAATAATTCAAAGGGGGTGAAAGAGCGAGGGTGAAAGAGCGAGGGTCTCACCGCGGTTGAGTGTCGGGGTGCTGTTTATGTCTCCTGCCATGAATGAAGATTCTGTCTGCTTTCGAACCGTGTCGTTCCACATCCTACGGATTCGACTCTGGGGGCAAAGCAGAGTGCAGTGAGTGGCAGATGACACACATTTGTCCCATTTACATGATTCAGGCCATAAAGCAAAGGTTAACAGGCCAAATTAAATTAGTGTGGTGGCCAGTCCTACTGGTGCGCTGTCAGTCTTCTGTCATTGTTTAGAAAACGGCAATATTCACTTGAGTAAATAACATAAAACTGAAGTAATTTTTTGGACTTAAAGAGGAATGTTCAAGGGTCAGCACACAGCTAGAAACTACAGAAAAGGCCCAAAACGTAGGTGTAGTGATGGACCCAAACTTGAACCTGGAAAGACACATAAAGACAATTACAAAGTCGGCCTTCTATCACCTGAATAACATTTCTAGAATTAAAGGGTTAATATCCCAGCAGATCTTGAGGGACTCATCCATGCGTTTATCTTTAGTCACATTGCAATGCAACCGACTCCACCGGTTTGCATAAAAAGCCCGTCAGAAAGCCTCAGCTCACCCAGAGCTCGTGCTCTCATGAAAACTACAGAAATGGAGAGCATCACCCAAGTTCTAAAGTTCTTACACTGACTCGCTTTAGCTCAGAGAATAGACCTTAAAGTATTTTCTTGTTTTATAAACTAACTTTGGCTTGGCACCAAAACACACTAAACACTTGTTGTTCTTGTAGCAACCTTCCAGATCACTCAGGTCTTCTGGTTCTGTTTTCATTCAAACCAACTTGGCCCTGTGTAAAAGAATAATCACTGTTTTTGTTAAGTCGTGAATTGCCTATTATAACCAAAGAGTTTTTTGGTTCAATTTCACTAGCCTCACACTGGCCTGGTTACTCTCTGACCTGTATAATCAAAAAATCACATTAACAAAACCTTTCTGACAGACTCATTGCCAGCTATTGTAAATGCTTGCTGCCAGGGGTGGCACAACCTGTTATTAAGTTTAGAGGGCAATTACATTTTCACATAGGGCCGGACTGGTTCGACGTTTTTTTCCCTTAAGAAATCAAATAACCATTTAAAAGCTCAGGCTTGTGTTTACTCAGGTTACTTTTGTGTAACTCTGATGATTTGTTAAATTTAAATCTGTAAGGTAAAAAATACGGCACTGAATGTTTTCCATGTTGACTCCATATGCATCCAGAGGACACATATTATATACAGTAAGCTGTGGCTAGATTTTTGTAAATCAGTGTGATAGCTGTAATCAACTCCAGGAGGCTTTGTGTGATCTACAAAGAACAATAGACAAGCATGTCAGACAAAAGAAATTCGGGCGTGGGGTAAAGAGGCGTGCAACTTTGCCACATTATCATGGTGGGTTAATGAGCTCGCGATGCGCAAGATGTGATTGCAGTAGCTGATACAATTGTTGCATGTTATTACATTTTGGAAACGCTTGTTTGTTGATTGTAAAGAATACTCGGCCATGTTTGTTTGTGTCTCATGTGTCTCTCCAAAGATCACAGCATGAACAGGATTTCAGCAACTCCTCTGTGATGGTTTCTGCATCTATATAAATACACGAGCTTCTAAAGATATCTTTACAAATGAGTCATCTCGGATGTACAGCACTGATCTGCCAACACTTTCCGGAAAGGTTGCAGTCAAACTTTCAAAACAAATTGTGAATATGCAGGCGGATGAAACAGGATTGTTTATTTGTAATGATGCAAATGGTGATGTAACACTCTTCATTCCCCTGTCCTACAGAACAATGTGTCATTTATGTCTTGATTGTGGTTTATAAGTGAGTGGAAAAAGTAAGTTATTCTCCAGAAAACAATCTCTGAATCATAAGTTTTGGTAAATAATCAAACTTCTGTAACACTTTATGCTTCCAAATCTTACATAAGAGAGCTATCGCTCTTTTTTTAGCAATATTCTTACATAGCCACCAATAGTCATATGAATAATTTGTTTTTCCTTTATACTCCACAGAAAAAAAAACAACAAACAAATAGATGTGAAGTCATTTTGCAGCAAAGACAGATTTCCTTCCGATTTCCTCAATGGGAAACACACAATTTGATTATCCAAAAGGTGCGTAAAGACGAGCGTCTGCGTGGTTTTGTGAGCGAGTCTGTCTTGTCTGCACCTGTCTGTGGGCAGCTGCATGGCGAGCTTGGCTGCCGCTGTAGTAGCGGTTGTTGGCGCGCAGGCCGGAGTTCTTCAGGGAGCCGTGGGAGCTGCTGGTGGAGGAGCGGCTGCAACAGTAGGAGTGACGCAGACATTTACTGTACTCCTTATGGACCTGCGAGAAGGAATAAAAACAACACCGGCGAGGTGAGCGGGGTTGAAGGAATGATTCATAAACTGAGAAATATAGTTTCAATAGGCTGAATGCAAGCTGGGTATTTCATTCAGCAATTTAAAAATGTACCAAATGCAATGCATCTAAGCAGGCATGATGAATTTTAATTACATATATTACACTGGACTTAAGAGTTTCTTTAGATAATTATTAATTAAAGTACCCTGTTATTATGGAGGCTCTAGTTGAATGAAGTGATACTAAACTTGCACTTCTTACTAAAATAAAAAAATATATATATATTGCATGTTCATTATGCAATCAGTGTCAAGATCGTTATACTGCTTTGCAAAAGCATTCGAACCCATTTAACATTTCCACTTCACAACCACACACTTTTATTTTATTTTTTTATTATTTCATGTTATGACCTGCACAAAGTAATTCATAATTCATAAGTGGAAGAACCACCTTTCGATGCAAAACAGCTGCAAGTCATTTCAGGTATCTTTTTAGCAGCTTGGTATTTTTAAAAACAGACTTGTTTGTCGTTTTCTTTCTAAAACAGACTCAGCATGATGCTGCCACCATTATGCTTCAACACAGGGATGGTGTGACGTTCAGTGTAAGTTTTCTACATTTCGTTTTTGTCTCATCTGACCAGCGCAACCGTTACAGCACGATTGTTGTGTTCACTGGATGGCTTGGGCGAAACTGTAATAAGGACAGAAACGGGATTTATTTGAGGCCAGATTTATGGAGTACGTGATAAACACTTGTCCTTTTGACAGATTTCTTGGTGTTTATACTAATGCTTGCTGATGTTCTCCACAGAATCAAGTTACTGACAATAGGTGACTTCTGAAGGATTTTATTTTGTATAATTATTACTTGAGTATCAAAGTGGAGGAGGATAAATACAAATTGTCACAACACTTTTGTATTCGTAAAACACTTAGCTGACAACCAGTATATAAAATCTTTCATTCATTTCACATTAATGCCCTTATAAGTAGGTCTATGATGTAACAATTCCAACAACATGCAAAACATGAACACATTTAAGGCAGATGGATATTTTTACTAGACTTTAAGCGATTTGTTTTGCTACCTTCTTCTGCAGTGCACAGTGGAAGATGAAGATGAACATTCCCTGGAAGGCATTGAAGGTGGTGAACAGGTAGGCCATGATTACTGTGTTCTCATTAATAAAGAGGAGGCCAAAAGCCCATGTTAGCCCAAGCAAGAACAGCAGCGCAATGGCCCCGAGAGCCCATGACCTGAGAGAATTGGACAAAAAAAAAAAAAAAAACGGAAAATAAGAGCTCATCTTAGGGTGGTGTTCAACAGAAAAACTGATTCAGGTTATTTAATAACTAGAACTAACTTTATGTTATCCAGACGACTCGAATCTGGCTTGAGTGCTGACGAATTGCGAATCATTTTATGGAGCGTGATCATGAGGAAAATGAGGTTGAGCTACAAACACACGATAAAAGAAGTTAACAAATCCCGTCCGCAAATGTATTTGCATTGTTTAGTTTCCCAAAATCAAAGGACCTCTCCATGAGTACTCTTCATTTGAAAAACTGAGGTGTAAAGAATAGTGTTTGACAAGCTAATACCATAATAACAAATGACACGGGTCCAATGAAGCTCCAGATGAAGTAGTTATCCACTCGCAGCCAGCATCTGGAGTGGCACAGAGGAGAGAGTTATGTGCGGCTAAGCTCAGGAACAAACATACAGACACACCAAGTCATGTGCACGCATAAAAAAAAAAAAAAAAAAACAAACACACACGCACCTACACGCACACACACACACACACACACACACATGCGCACATTACATCCCTGTCTCAGCGGATTATGTTATAAAGGCTAATAATCGGGCTTCGGCTAAGTGTACTCAGAAAACACGGTCTGTGGGGAGGCACGAGAGCCACTCACACAGCACTGCATATTACATTTCCAGCTGGGGGAATAACATAATCCTACTTCTCAATCTGCAGGTGCAAAAGGCCTGTCTTCACACGTACGCTTTCTTGGTCCCATAGCTCCTGTAGTCTATGGCTGCAGAGATGCCCACCACCAGCGCGGGGAAGCAGTAGCCGCACAGATAGTAGTACTTTTTGCGCGAGTACTCGCTCTCAAAGACCTCCACGAGCATGAGATAGAGTTGCACACCCTCCAGACACATCCAGGAGAAGGCAGCCAAGAAGAAAAAATGGAGAAGGCCAGCAAAGATGGGACAGACGATCTGAGGGCAGCGATAAGGAAGAAGGATGACAGAAGAGAAGAGGAGTGAAAGGAAAAAAAAAAAAATTAGGACGAAGTAAGAGGAATCATTGAGGTTAAGACATTTAACCAAGCGAAAAACAGGGAGAGGACAGAACAGGGTCACTATCAGGTACCGAACACGAAAAAGGGGGGAAAAAAAGAAAAGCTGCCCCTCGGTGACTGGTGCTCTGCATATCATTGAGGGGTAATTTATTACCTTGTCTAGTAAAGGTTTTATAGAGTAAATTAATGACACAATGCCTCAGCTTCAGTTTCACAGCAATTCAGTGGGAAAAAAAAGTTTGTAAAATCACCTGAGTTGTGCTGTAAATGTCATTCTCAAGTTAATTATGCATAGAAACTAACCTGACCTTTTGACTCTGTCTCATTTACAACATATAAGCAAGTAAATTGAGTTCTAAAGGAGGCTTCATAGCATAAAAAAAAAGGACACGCGCTTAATTACCAAGGGGGGGGGGGCGGACAACAAAATCATGCGTAAAAATGTATACAAAGGAGGCGAGGGAGGAGGTTCTTTGGCTGAAAAACTCACGTGATATTCCGTCTTGTCGATACCGATGAGGAAAAGCAGCTCGGCGATAAAGAGGTTGATGCAGAGGTTCTTGTGGATTGTATTGCGGTCAGTCTGCAGACCCCGCAGGAAGCAGAAAGTGGAGATGCAGATGGCCAGACACACCAAGGAGATGACGATGCCCACCCAGGTGATGACGAACAGGATGAGTTCGTGCATCCGACCCTAGCGGATTAAAAAGCGACAGAGAAAATAAACAGGTGTAAGGAGTGTTGAAAGGAAAACGGTGGGGGTGTGGGATTAGACACAAACAATTTCCCCGTGTCAAAAAAAAAAAAAAAAAAAAAAACCCCAAAAAAAAAAAAAATTTTGGGAAGGAAAAAAGGGGGGCAAAAAGAAAAGCAGAAAAAA